AACAAAAATTTATAGATATATTACATATTAAAGACTACTAAAGCACAATATTTAATTTTTTGAAATTCCTTACTTTATTTGATTGATAAGTGTAAGCAAGTAATCAAGTTTGATAGTCCATGCATTTGATGGTTTGAGTTTGAATAACTGTCCCCCTGCAGGGATGATGATTTGCACAATACTGCATACTTGAGTAAAATTTCCACATAACCAAAATCACTTGTTGCATAATTGTGTGCTTTGCCAACAAAAAAAAAATTCAATTAATCATTCTGGAAAGCACCAAACCAGAGTCATCTAACAACTTTGTTAAATCATTTAAAGTTTGCAAATATATTTAATGAAAATCCTTGTTGGAATTAATAAGCAATGAGTTGATGTTCTTTAAGGTTGAAAAACTTTACTAGACATTTTGAAAGTAATTTATTTTTTTTTTAAAAAAATATAAAATGTAAACAATCATATTTTTTTTGAAATAAGAATTACGGAATATTTATTTTATATTAATAAAAAAATAGTGAAATTTTTTTCCAATACTTCTATATGAATACTGTTATATTATAAAGATCTATTCCAGCTGGAAATTAAATATCTCATATTTAGATCTAATAATTTTCCTTCTACTCTCCCTGCTCCTGTTATTGCACCTCTTTGAAGTAACAATATGGTTGCCATTTATTATATTCAAGGATTTCTTATATTTTTTAATAAAAGTTCTTTATAAGGCTTGATTTTATCAAAAAAATTATTTGGAATAACATTTTCTATATATTATAATTTTCAATTTGACAAAGTCATCCTTCTGGAAAAATTTTTTTCTGATTCTTCATTTTGTGCCATTCCTCATTTAATTCTAAATTGCAATGATTTTTCAATGGCCTTGAAATCATGAGATTTTAAAAATATTTTGGGTTTCACAAATTGTTTTAATTTAACAAACTTGAGGTAAAGTAAATGATTGATGTTTTAATGCAATTTTCTGTAGAAAAACCAAATTCTGTTGATGCCATCAACCTTTTCCTTTGATTAAACAATCTTGTAATTCATTTGATTGATTCATTAAGATCATTCATCATAGGCTTCAAGTAATTCAAAAATTTCATTTACATCAGGTTGTCTATACTGATGATTCCATTGTAAGTATAACTTAAAAATTTTTTTGTTTTGGATATATTATACCAATTATTATAAAAATATGTAAGTCTTTTACAAGCTTACTAATATGTTTTAATGATAAAGTACTATCATTTGAATTAATAAGATTGTCAATTAATATTGTTATATTTTCTAATGACAAAAAAAAATTGGACATTTTAAAGAGAGGTTTATTATTTTTATAATTTTTTTGTCATACAAACATTTATCTTTCCTACAAATTTATTTAAATTTATTTTTTATTATTTATTATTAATTTAGCAAATGACCAGAGTAATTTTAGAACACCTTCATATGCTGCATTTACAGTGATATTGGATTTTTAATTGGTGATGCTACATAAAATCAAGTTAGTATGAATCAATCTAATACTGTCTTTGATGCCAAATATTTTATTGATTGTCATTTTAATAAGAAGTTCAACCTGATTTAAAGGTATATTAATCATTTTAATGATGATAAATGATGATTACATTAAAACTTATAAATTATATTATCCTACAACCACCACCACCTAATAATATAGCATTGGTTGTTCAAAGCCATTGATGAAAATGGTATACCATATATTCAATTGAACATAAAGGTAAAACTAAACAATTTACTTATCATCTATGGTATTGCAAGTGTGCAAAATACAAATACAGCTCGTGATGTGTCCAACAAATATATAAGATAAAATAAATAAAAAGTCCAATATATAAATCTCCCTGTATCAGCACACAGCTCAGGGTTCTCAATTCTCTACCTCAGGCCTCTGTATTGGCACACAGCTCAGAGCCTACTCAAAACTCTATTGCGCAATTCTCTCTCTCTACAGTACTAATACTAAGTACTGCTGGCAAAAAGCCTAAAATAAATAAATAAAATAAAAAGAATATATACAAGAAATATTTACAACTATACCACTTGAGGCGTCCCTACAAGCAGCATAGA